AAAATTTTCAGAATTTCAAGATGGTGACAGCAAAACATTATATTTATTGTAGACTCTGCTAAGTGGAGGGTCCTATGTGACTTTAACAGGTTGCAAGCTCATGAAATCTGCCCTGTAGCTATACAAAACAAACTGGAGACCAGGTTCAGCTCAAGAATCACCTAAATCCTATTCTAAGGGTTCTACATTCTCTCCCCTACTTACCCTTGTCACTCAAAGAATGCAGCTTGCAGTTACAAGATAGCTGGAAGACTTTGGAGCATGACCTATAGCTGAAGAACAGAGAAAAACATAACTGGTGGCTTACAAGGGAAACAAGTCTCTCCATTGTACTCAAAACCAACTGGGAATTCAGTCATTGACAGGTATGTGCTTGCGGAGGAGAAATCTTCTGCCTTATTAATTCAAAATATTGAAAAGTCTGCTGCTATGGCCAAATTCCTATTAAAAAGTGATACTCCCCTGAAAAGCCTTTCCACTCATAATCTATCCACAGAGTTGAGTATATACCATTGCTTATCAAAGAGGATTAGTTCATCTGCAAGTGATTGTCACAAGTCAGAATACCATATACATATGTGAACATGCTCCTAAAAAATTTCATGAAAATACAATCATTGTTTTGGATCAATTAATTAATATGATTGTGTAGAGAAATGTTTCCCATTTGAAACATTTTGTTTGTGAAAATGAATGAACAAATTTCTCATGGCTGGATGTGTTTGGTACATACTTTCATGTGGCACATATCTCTACTACCACATGCACTGGAACATTCTATTTAGAAAACTTCCTGGACAGTTGTAAAGATGAGAAATGTCTTTCAAAACAAGATGGAAAAAAAAAATCTCTCCTTAATTGATCTGTCATATATTTTATATTTCCTTGTGTCAGATATATGTCAATTGAAATAGATGTACTTTTGAGTGATTATAATTATACTTTTCAAAATAACTTAAACCAACAAATTTTTCTGTTTATTTTTCTCTTTCCCTCTAAAATGTAATGGAGGAAGAGGTCTGTATTTGTGTTTCCATTGCTATGTTCCCTGACATTGCCTGGTACACAGTAAATACTCATTAAATACTTGTATGAATTGAATCCATATGATCAAAATAAACTATTACCCACTGATTCTAGAATTGAAAATAGAAGAGACTTAGAGATTTGTAACAGGACCACAAAACTCCCTAAATTCCACTTTGTTGTTGTTGTTTTTAATTTCTTAATTGGAATGCATTTGCCATAGTCACTATACCTAGTAACTCTGTTGTTTTTTGATTAGACACTCTTATTCCTATAGTACATGTAGCCAGGAGCTTAGGCCTCCTTGGAGCAGGCTAGGACAAAGGTTAAATTCTTCCCAGAACCTAGAAAAGGCTAATGAGCTCAGTAGAATATTTCTAAGTATTCACCAAACCAGAATCAATATCAATGTACTATCAGTGTATGCATTAGCCCCACAGTCAAACAAAGAACAGCCCTTAGAGTTCAATAATGACTGTGGGTGTGGATAGTTGGGGATGGGCAAGATGATGCAGAGATGACTGTATCAGCTCTCCTAAGCACAAGGCTTCCAGAATGTTGCAGGAGAATCATTCTTGTACTTTGTCAGAGACAGGAAGTATTTGGGCTGAGCCACTGACATACCCAGAAAAAATGATCTCCCTTTTTCTTTTTCTTGACCCAAGAGATGGATTCAGAATACACCTTCCTATCTGTAAAAAGAAATTTCCCCTACTATTCCTTGTCTGGTGTTACCAGAGAATGCAAATATTTTAAGCTACCAGAGTACTACGTATGTAGGTGATAACTAAGGTACAATGTAGATGATAACATAGGTACAATCATTATTGACTCAGTAAGCCTTGTTTGCAGTACAACTCTATCATACCCACACTCATTGTGTAGCATTTCCCATATTCAGATTGTACTAGAAAAATATGTCTAACAAGGGTAGTGGCAAAGGATCTTAGCATCAATTCTGCATTACTTAATCACTAGGATCAGAGTAGGATTTGACCAAGAAACACACTCATCCCTTCTGTAAAATTGATCTAAGGGTTATAAAAGGGATTTCAATCTACATATGAAGTCTGATTTTCCAACTAGAATGAGAAAGGTTGAGATGAGTGTGACAGAGTGAAATGACTGATCATTATGGTACACACAGTTAAGATGGCATAAAGCTAATGTGACTGTGAGTAAGCATGTGGGTTTCACAGTCAAATCACATTGGTTTGAAATCCTTATTAACTTGTTAACTTTGTCAACTTTAGCCTCACTTTGTTAGCATGGCTAAGGCTTGTTTTCTGAAAAATGTGAATTATAACACCTAATCCTTTAAAGTGAGAATGCTGTCTTCTACATCATAACATCATTATATTGGCTAGCAAGAAATGCACAATGCTTATTCCAATACCTTATACATAAGAAGTACTGAATAAATGATAACTATAGCTGTCAGTGTGGTTATTTTTATCAACCATTCTACAGCCTAGTTATCTACAAATGGTTAATTTCTTTAACCTTGTAACTCAGTAAAGAAAGCCATAACCAGAGGCATGGAGAAAATCAGCTTCCGGTGAGGCTTCCATGGTCTAAACTTGGCCACACAATAAATATGGTCTTCATGATCTTTCACTCATCACTGTGAAATAATATTCTTTAAATTCTAGAAAGTTTCAGTGAGAAACCAATAAATGCAACCACAGAGCAATCTCTCCCTTCCCGCATACACACACCCCTCTCCACCCCATGGGGATATATTAAAACTAAGGCAACTGAAATAGCCTTAGCCAGTAATTAAGACACACAGCTAATCAGAGATCAGCACAGGCTGTAGCCCTCTGCGAAGAAACCAGGCATCAAGATGACAGCTCCCATTACTAGGGCTTTGTTCTCCTGGGGTAAAGAGCATAAAAGCATAAAGTTGGGAAACTATAACTACATTTTGAACATTTGCGGGGGCAAGAGAAGATCACAGGTTCCTCTGAACTGGGAAGATATTCCATCAGATTACTGCATCAGCCCACACCCACCAGCACCCTTCCCATCCTCACTCAAAGCATGACACCACTTTTTCTAACACTGCCCTTAACGAATCTGGTTTCTGCGACTTCCAGTAATTGTACAAATTACCCACGATGAAGCAGCTGACAATACTACTAGACAAAAGAAACAAAAATTTAACAAATAGAAAACTCATTAAAATGCTGCCTTTGGTTATTTTTACTCCTAGCAATTCATGTTACCAAACAAGTCTTTCTCCGTTGTTTTTCCTTGGAAGTAATACTTTAAAAGAATTCTAATGGGCACTGAGTGATTTTTCTACAGACTCATAATCCAACCACTAGACACACCTTCCCTTCCCCCATTGCTATCGAGCACTCCTCCCTGTCACCTTAGAGCTTCTGACTTAGCTGTGTTCACACCCAGAAGTCCCAGCAGAGCTTTCTGTTCACATTATGCAACATTAAAAAGGTTGGCAATGAACAATTGATGTTCCTAAATGTTTGCAATAAAGCTAGGCTGAGCTGACCTCTACCATCCCATACAGCTGCATATGAGCCATATGAGCTTAAAAGACAGAGAAAGTAGCATGTGTGTGATGTGTATAAACAAACTAATTAAAATCCAAGGTCTTTCATTCAGGCTAGTGCCTAATGGGACCAATATGCTCAACTCTGAAAAAAAAAAAATCACTCGAAGCTGGCTAGAGGTATTGCTTTTTCTGCTTTCTGTGATACAGCTTAGATTCAATAAACAAACTAAGAGATTAGGAACTCAGAAGCCCTCATTCTTTCCTATAAGACTTTTCAAAAAAAAAAAACTATCAACTTGGCAACCCTGAGCCAAAAGACCACTCCCTGATTCTAAGTGGACATATTGATCAATTGAACTGACATGTGCCTCCTCCTTTCTCTGTCTTAGTAGCAATCAGCTGCACCAGGGAAATTTATTTCATTTCCCAAAACAAAAGCCAACACACTGCTCCTTACCTGATACTGTCTGACCACATTTTTTAGAAAATAATTGTAACAAAGATACCAAAAGACAGCTAGGAGTTGAAATGAAAATGATACATGTTTATCTGAGTTTCAGAATTAAGTGGAAGCTGTGACTGAACCAGAGATCTGTATTCATCACAATTACTGAGGACCCTGCTATTTATTCATTTTACCAGATTCTGGTTAAAGTTAAGCAAAAGAGAGCAATACCACTGCCACTTCCAGCTCTGCTCAGGGTTACCCTTCACTGAACTGCCGCAGAGAGACTTGTTACAAGTCAGTCTGCAAACAACTCCAGCTATTTTAAAGACTAGCTAGAGATGGAAAAATATTGTGGCAGTCTAGCAACTAACTATTGAAGGGCCTGGATTGAAGGACCACCACATAAATCAAAAGGCTCAAGTAATTTCATTTGGTTTGGTCTTTATGTTTTTAATAAATTCTGTCTTGAACATGCAAGAGATCCCTTTTCAAATGAGGTTATGTCAAATGCTTATTCAGCATTCATTCCTTGCCATGAAGAAACTGAAACCCAACCAAGGTAAATACTGAATTTCATACTGCAAATCACTAAATATTTCATGAGTCACAACAGCCGATAGTGGACTAATTAGCTCTGTCCCATAAAAAAGGAATATATATATACATATATATATCTTTACAATGTTTAAATATTGTGAACTACTTGTTTTAGAGCCTATTTTGGATTTTTGCAATAGAAAATCTCCTTATATTTATGAAAAATTCCATGAGAACACTAAAAATAGCAGGCAGAGATGGAGCAAGACTAATTCTAGATATTTTGATTCCTCTATGATTCTTACAGGCCTTTGTCTTAACCCAGCAGCCTGAAAAAACAGATTTAGGTAAAACAGCCCTTCTTTCCCTAGTCCATTTTAAGCAGACAACATCCCCCCATCTCCGCCTTAGCAGATACCGACTAACCAACAAAACAGCCATGCAATTAAGGCCCAGACATTTAACACTCACCATCTCCTGCTCTCACCGTCCTCTTTTGATGTTTACAGCACATCTGTAAGATGCAATACTAGGAGATGCCTTGTTTGACCTGCTGCATGATGCTGTGACATCAGTTCAGATGATGCAGCTCATTATGGGAAAGACTGCTGTTGCTATGGCAACTGGGATGTGCTAGGAATCCTTGCTGCATTTCCAGTGGAGCCTGAGACAATACGGAAGCCCTGTAAGAAACAGACGATATGCAAAATTTAAACCAAACGAAGAGGATCCCTCATTGGACTAAAATCCATAGATTTAAAAGGGATTTCCCCGAAGGCACTTTGGAAAAAATAAAGATTATTTCCTACTTTGTTGTTACACGTTGAGAAAAAAAGTGGTGGTGAGAGTGTATGTAGATTTAGTACTAAGCAAATAAAACTCAAATACACAATGTTTCTACCTTAGGAAATTTGATCACTTTTTCTTCTCTGGACAGCATAATACCATTTTAAAATAAAAAGAATTTTTTGTTCATTTGTCAAGAACCAGAAGAACAAAGCAGAGAGCAGGAAAAGAATTAAAAATGGAATATAAACAGCTGAAAAAGTAATTCTAACTCTAAAGTAAATAGGCTTTAATTCTCAAAACATAAGCAAGCTCACATAAGTTTTAATTCACAAAAGACGGGCAAACTCCCACCAACAAAGTCTGCCCTGATCATTTTCCCTGAAGGACACAAACTCACAGAATCTTTGCATGCTGAACTCACTTGAGCTTCAGATAAGCACATGAAAGGATGTTCGGAATCAAGGGGACATACCACACTCTCAATTTCTAGGATCCCTTTGCTTAGTCTGCAGAAAACTCCTACCACTCATAACCAACATGTAAAAGGGTCTTTTCTTGGCCAAACCTGATGGCTAGAACAGTGGCAGACCTTCTAGAAACTTCCTAAACCACTGACATTGCAACCATTAGGATTCTGTTTTCTTTCAAGGCAATGAGATACATAGGAAAAAATTACTCATGCCCCTCCACCACCTCAAAAGCGGCAATTGTGTGAAAAGTCACATTTAAACAAGACACAGTGAGGCATTTCTCCAGTTGGTAGAACAAAGCAAATCTAAAGCAATAATGCCTTTTAGTCCTGAGAAAAAAGCAAGCATTATATGGCAAGAACTGGGAGCAGGGAGTCATAGACAGAGCAGCCATCTCTTGCATATTTAATACTCTCAGACGATAGATACAAACAGAATCAAACTGACCTACATCCACTCTATCTTCATCACTGTAGGGAAGAACAACATTCTAAAGGACCAAAATTTAATGAGATAATTTATGTTGTCCCCACTTATTTGAGATTTAATTTTTTTAACATATTTATTTACTTTCACAATATTCCACTCTGTTTTGCCCTACTTGAGATTTTCAGATGGTACCACTGACCAACAGCATGGAGAATGGGAGGATGAAATGGCAGCAAGAATTCAGACAGTGCCTTGGTAAATAGGGGCTGATAAAATGCCTGAAAGGTGCCAAGATCACAGCAGGATGCACTATCAGCTGTGCACAGAGCAGTCCTGCCCTGGATGGGAAGCCAGGATTGTTCTTGCTTTACCTAATGAGGAATTGGGAGACTAAAAGCAAGAAGTGAAACTGTCTGCCCATGTCACCCATGCTCTCAATCACAGGCAGAGCCTGACTCTCACTTTTTATTTTAGACCACAAGACATACTGGAGGAAGTAACAAGCACCCACTCTACTACAAAGAGCACTTATTTGGGATTCAGGAAACATAATTGTTAAGGCCATAGATAGTGGCAGATCCCACAGGTTAAAGGGTCAATCCTGCAGGACTGTATGCACACAAGCACACGCACACACACACTCAGATGCCAGTCGCCAAGTCCAGGTTATCACCTTACTTCTGATTAGTTATAGATTAAAGTTTCCAACAGCCCCTTCCTTGGGCACAATTAATTTGCTAGAGTAGCTCACAGAGCTGCTCTGCAGAACTGAGAAGCATTTTACTTTATTAGATCATTGATTTGTTATAAAAAGATATAACTCAGGAACAGTCAGATTGAAGAGAAGCATTGGGTAAGGAATGAAGTAAGGGCACTGAGTTTCAATGTTCTTTACAAGCATGCCACTCTCCCAGTTTCCAAACCTATTCTTTTGGGTTTTTATGGATGCTTCATTACACAGGCAGTGTCTAAATCATGTCTATGGGCAATAGATTCAAACTCCAGTCCATTTCTCCTCTCTGGAGATTTAGGGATGGCCATGAAAGTTCTAATCTTCCAGTCACTGGATTGGTGGTTGGCTCCCCTGGCAACAACTCCCATCCTTAGGTGACCTAGGGGCATTCCAAGAATCTCTTCAATAGCATAATAAAAGATACCTATCAATACATCCCTCTCACCACCTAGGAAATGCAAGAGTTTCAGAAGCTCTGTCCTAAAAATGGGGTCAGTAAATATGGGAGTGATTATATCTCTTCAAATTCATGATTTTGTATTTTTCAGGTAAATACCCAGAAGCGGAATAACTGGGTTACATGGAATATCTATTTTTAATTTTTTTGAGAACTCTCTGTAATACGTTCCCCAGTGACTGCACCAACGTACATTCCCACCAACAGTGTTCAAATTTCCCTTCTCTCCATATCCTCTCTAGCACTTGTTTTCTGTCTTTTGGGTGATAACCATTCTCATAGGAATGAGGTATCTTTTTGTTATTTTTATTTGGATTTTCCTAATAATAAGAGATAATGAACATCTTTTCATGTGCCTATTGGCCATATGTATGTCTTCCTTAGAAAAGGGTCTATTCAGATCCTCTGCCCATTTTTTAATCTGATTATTTTTTCATGGTTGAGTTTTATGAATTCTTTGTATATTTTAGATATTAACCCTTTGTCAGATATATGATGTACAAATATCTTTTCCCATTCCATAGGATGTCTTTTCATTTTGTTGCAAGTTGCAAGTTTTTTTTGCTATGCAGAACATTTTCATTTGATGAAGTCTCATTTGTTTATCTTTTGCCTGTTTCCCTTTCCATTAGAGTTGAGTTCCCAAACATCTCTAGGGCTAATATCAAGGAGCATGTGATTATCTTTTCTTCTATGTATTATTTACAATAGCTAAATAGGAAACAATGCTAAGTGTCCACTAACATATAAATAGATAAGGAATCTGTATTATATTCTACACAGTAGAATATTATTCATCTATTAAAAAAAAATAAAATCCTGCCCTTTACAATATGAATGGATCTAGAGGGTATTATGCTTAGTGAAATAAATCAGAGAAAGACAAATACCATGTGATTTTGCTCAAATGTGGTATATAGAGAAAACAAACAGATGAACTAAATAAAGCAAAAAATAAGCTTTTGTATAATAAAGACCAATGGTGGGAAGAGAGGAAGTGGGTAAATCACTGGGTCTCTGAAGGACCACATGGGACAGAGTCATCTTCTCCCCAAATATGCACTGACACATGAAATTGCAGTGAATAAGAAATAAATATTTACTGTATTAAGTAAGCTGCTGAGATTTGGCTGTAGCTTATTATATGTAAATGCTCTATGTATAGAAGAACGCATAACAATTTAAAATAGAAATCACAGAAATACATATAAAGAATATTATGTATTAATAATAATATTATGTATTTATTGTAAACTATTATAAAATGTTTTAAACAGCTTCCCTTATTACAGGTCTTCTCAGAGCCTTTAACCTGTTCATACAAGTTGAGAATTTCCTATGGGAGGAATAAAGTATGCTACATTTTCCTAATTTATTTCATCATAGAATCCTTTTGATATGGACTAATCTTCCATTGGCTGTCCATACTCAGCATGATAAACATGGCTATAAATAACAATGGGCTAGAAACCCCCCAAATTACTCCTTCAGCCTAAATAATAGAAGAAAAAGTAAAATTTCTCTCATCTCCAGTACAACTCAATCTGCCTCCAATTTTTCTCTGCCATCCCGAACTGCAACACAGAAATTTAGTGGTGTTATTATAGATAGAGGAACACTCATAAATGTTTCCTTCTGGCCATTTTCCCACTTACAATTAGGAGTTGTGCCCCAAATCCTTACCATTTTAGTTACAAATGAGTACTATTTCTGAATTATCAGCTCAGGACACATATATACATCTTGTGATTGTATTTTAGGGGCTTAAAATATCATAAAGCCAATTCTGAAAATGTGGCAGTCCTGCATCCTTTAAAGGTACCATGTGAAAATTTCTAGATCAGAGGAATGTTAGTTATTAGCTGACAACTGTCGTCATGAGCTGACAATTTGGAAATAATACTAGCTGATTTCATTGGTAAGCCTTCAAATTACCTTAGCTAAATACAATAATTGTGTAGTTCTTTTTCATTTGAAGTCTGTATGCATGTTCCTGATTGCAGGTGACTTTCAATGTAGTCATTCAGGGACTCTGACTATCTTGAGGTTTCTTTCACATTTCTCTAGAAACTTAGCATCCCTGGCATTTTCAGCAATTGTGGTAAGAAGGCAAAGGAAAGGTTTTCATGGTCCAGATCTGGAAGTACTATCTTCACTTTTACCCACTTGCCATTGGTTAAAATTTAGTCAAATGTCCACACATACTGCAAAGGAAGCACACTTTGTGCCAGGAAGAAAAGGAGTCAGGTATAATACAGTTATCCAACCTGAACTTCGTTCCTGGCTACATTAACATATGTCTGCAATACTACCAGTGGGTCCCTTAAGCTCAACTGAACACTCAGACAAGACTATCACAACCAACATTTGGCACTAGTCTGCTCTGAGAGTTTGCCAGCAGGGTAGCATCTCCTGTGCTGCAGTCTTAAAGCAATCCTTGCTGCAATCCATACAGTGTCCAGAAGCTATTCTATTTAGCCCCAGTGACAGCTCAAGAATGCAGAGATAAAACACATCAGGCAAGTTCTAAAGTGTACAGCTTTAAAAGCATTAGTCATCACAGGAGCCCATATCTTTGTAACAATTTCATAAGCATAACTTCCATAGTCCTCACAAAAAATACGCCCAGTCACTGCACTCAGAGAACCTCTAAACTATGGCTTCCTGATAGTATCTATAGCTATATCAATACAGACTAAGAGTTTATTCCACATCGTCCACGTGAGATGTTGCCAGAGAATATATTGGGTGGGAAGGAGGGGACCTTTCAGAGGTCCCTCAGAGCCAAGATCATGGTTATATGGA